GATTAATTTTATGGCACATCATGCTTGCAAATCTTATCTCAATACACAGTTTAATGCTCAATTTTCTCAGCTTGATTCAGATGGAGCATTAATAATAGTAGATTGCAAGATGAAGATTCTCTCCCAAAAAGCCTGTGAAACAAAAAATGAGTGGTTTAGAAAGAGGGGTAGATGCTTCATTCTGTTCTTGTATATACAAAAAATATTGGAAATAATAACTTAGATGTACAAGCTTTTGATCACTGGTCTGGAGATACTCATCAAGACGCATGGTTCACTGCATCCTCATTATATACTGTAATAGAAACTTTAGAATAAAAACCAAAATAGATCACTATTATATTAGATAATGGTAAACATTATTATAACACAGAATTAATGATTATCATGGGCCATTAGAAGGAATGGTATAATATTAGTCCTCGTAAATAGTTATTCTAGAAGCGGAAGAAGCAAAAACTATCATAGATTCTCATCACGCTCAAGTATGAATTAATATTGCATTTTTTTTAGATATTACTAATAATTTATGTATTATATTATTATTGTTATAGATTTCACATGCAATAAAAAGATGGTAAAAGTTGGACATGAATTAGAAGAAGGAGAAGACATTGAAAATACTATAAAGGGTCTTTCAGATACTTATGTATCTTATCTTGAACCAGATCGTAATAAAGGTAAATATTTTTATTTTATTTATAATTTTTTTATAAAAAAAAGAATAATATAATCATTTAAATAGAAAAAAAGAAGTTAGGAATGATTAATAGAATATCAAACTGGCATGAATTTACTTGGCCTGAGACCGGAGAGGATGCTGAATATATATATGCACGTGTATTACCAGAGTTTGGTAAGTAGAATAAGATTACGCCTGGTCAAATTGATAAAATTACAAATACACACAGCTTTGAAAAGCCAAATCCAAGTTATATAACACATACACAACCTTCAGAATCATAGATTGTTCCATTAGCATCACAAAAAGGTTGTTTTTCAAAATAATACAGTATATAAACTAATAATTATTTGTCATTATTTGTTTTAGTAACTAATGGTATTTTGTAGATTATAAAGAAAATTTTCAGGCAGATCAAATAAATTTTGAGGTAAAAATAATACAATATATACAATGTTCTATTTGGTCAGAATATTTGATAAAAAAAATGTTAAAAAACATACGGAGGAAAACAAATCAAAGAAAAGAATAATCCAACATCACAAAGGTAAATTCATATTGATATTGTATTTGAAATTTTATTATAACTAAATTTATGATCTTTTGCTATTTTTAGCGCTATTGTATTTGTTTATGGATGGGCTCTAACAGAAAAATTAAAAGCAAATCAAAAAGGTCTAACTAAACAAATTACAAAATGTGTCAAAAAATTACTTACTCTAATGTTTCATACTGGTACAGCTAATCCTAGGCTGAAAATAAATGCTAGTGAAATGCATGAGAAACTTTTGAAAAGGATAGCTGATGGAGAAACGATATGCCAAAAATTTCCACAATTGCAAACTAGATAACAAGCACCTCATGATTATTCAAAAAAACTATGGCATTACGACTTCTTGAAGAAGCAGAGTCATCTGATAAATAAATATTTATTATAATGAATTTTTGTTTTCTTTAAAATTTAGCATAATAAAGATCAAAAAACACTAATGATAGAATTGTTTTCAATTATATAATGTAAAAACGTTTAAAATTATTTCATCACATGATTATAATAAATAATAAAATCAATAACAATTAAACCTAAACAATAATAAACTGAATAAATAATAAAAAACTATAAGTTTCGCTCACAAAAAAATAAATTATTCTTAAATTAAATAAAAATTCTCATATCCCGCAAAGAATAATTTTACTAAAAAAAAGTGCAAACATTTCCTAAATAAAAATAAATAAAAAGATAAAGATCAATAACTGAAAATAGATAAAAAATTCTTTCTTCAAATCCCACAAAGAGAAACTTATCACAAAAATTTAGTGTTGTATGTAGTATTACGTGTCCTAAATCAAACAATGTGTTTATTTGTATCTGGTCTTCTTTATTTCTGTTTTGTAAAATACCTAAAGCCAGTAAAAATCACACTTCTGAACTTCACAAAAAAAATAATACTACCATGAAGTTCAAGAGGAAAAGAAACCAGTTATTAAAGAATAAAAATCAAATAAAAAAACAATTTTTTACCTTAAATCGAAATATTCCCGCCTTTAATTTGAATACACAAGGAAACTTACTACAAAAATGAGATAAAAAGTGAACTATTCTAAAAAATAGACAAAAAAAATAAACCTTCAAATTCCACAAAGAAACTTATCACAAATCTAGAGAAATGTAAATATTTACAAGAAAATTATATTGTTTTAACTTCTGGAGTCATCTAAAACTTCCACATAAACAAATTTATACCGCTTTCATTATAAAAAATTTTATATATAAATTTGTGATCTTATCTGGAATCCATAGTAAAGTCATTAAAAATATTATCAACGTATGATTTTTATAGCATTTTCGTGTTCTCTGACTTTATTTGCATTAGACTATATGATTTTTGTGTACATAAAAGTAACTTGCGTCAATTTACTATTTGAGTGAAAATGTGTAATAATGAAAAGTTTATTAGTGATTGGCAAAATTTTTCCCTGAATTTTTATACCAAAATTCTGCTGATCATATCTGAATTGGCAATTAAGTGTCTTTGCATGATATAATGTCATATAGTTTCAAATTCATCTCAAAGATAAATTATAAAAAGTTAAGTTCCCATTCAATCTGAACTAATTGCAAAGTTTTTGTTCGCTAAGATATTATCAATAAAAAAATGTAATTTTTACTTTTTTTGATTATGATGGTATAAATCCTTCTTTTTAAATAGCCAATAAATATTTATTTACTTATTTGTTTATTTGCCAATTATGAATCAATAATTTTATCATTTGCTGACAAACCTTTTCATGAATTTATGCCTTTTCTTCAGCTAGAAAGTTATCTTCAATAAATGTTATATATTGAAAAGAATTATAAGGTATATTCTCTTTTTTTAGTTATTCATTGAAGCGAAAATGATTGTTATGATGATTCTGCATCTTTATATAGAAAGAAGAATATGACAAATTTACATAGATACTTATGGGTTAAACTATTTAACATCATGTGATATTTTCCAACTCATCATATAATTATTTTTTTAGACACCTTACAAAATTGACAGAACGAATATCATTTATGTTTAATGAGTAAATATGATCTTGAAAGTATAGATTGGCAAATAATCTCGAATAAAGAAAATGATGAAGATTGTAAAGAAGATAATGAAGAAGTCGTTATTTGCTATATTTTCAAAATAAAGAAAAACCAAAAGTAAAAGGAAAATTTTGAAATTGTTTCTGGATTCAGAGTAAATCAAACTATATTTGAGATATAAAAATCAGCAATTTTTAAAAAGCTAAAAAAAAGTTTTCATATCATGTCATCTTGTGAAATTTTTATTCAAAGATTTAGTGATTCTATTATAAGATAAGCAAAGGCAAATCTCGTTGTTATATTAATCTTAATTATCAACTCTTTATAAGGTTAATATTTCAGGATTGCTATCAAGTTAAACCTCAAGAAATGATAATCTTAATATCCTATTGAATTCTTGGGTTGTCGATTCCAGTGTTCAGAAATGACTTGGTCATTTAACCATTTAAATGATTTGTTTATTCCTTTATTATAATCATAAATCATTTAGCATTTGTCATTTTGCAAATTATCTAAATGATAAATGATAAATGATCAAGATTATTTAAGATCATTTAAATCATTTGTCATTTAATCATTTGCTTTTACAAAAAATTTAGCGATACTCTTAAAGAATCGCAAATTTTTAGCGAGTTTCACAATTTTATCTCCCAATGATAAAGAATCATTCTAAAAGATAATAGAAGGATCATTCCAGTAGAATGATTGAAGAATCACTCTAAAGAAATGATTAAAAAAATCATTCCTTAAGAATGATAAAAGATCGTTTTAAAAGAATGACACAAAAATCATTCCAATAAGACAATAAAGATCATTTTAAAGGAACGATACAAAAAAATTGTTCTAATAGAACTATAAATTATCATTCTTTAAGAATGATAAAAGATCATTCTAAAGGAATGATAAAAAAAACAATAGAATGATTCTATATCATTATAAAGAAACCATATAAAAAATCGTTCCAATAGGATGATAAAGATCATTCTATTGAAGCGATGCTTTTAATCTTTCCTTTAGAATGATCCTTCTATCATTCTATCAGAATGATACTTTTAATCATTCTTTTGAATGAAACTAAAAAATTATTAAATTTTTAGCTCGAGTTTAGCACTTAACTTAACTTTATTGGACTTGTCTGACTCATAATTTGAGTCAACTCATTCAGAACTTGAATATAATTTAATATACTATTATATACTATATAAAATATTTGCCCAATATGAAATAATTTTTTTTAATTATTTACACTATAATAAACAAAATAAATAATAATAATTTATAAAATATGCTATATTTAAAAATTATTGAAATGACAGGTCATTTGTTATTTGAGTCATTTGCCAATCATAATCATTTGGCGAAAATATCCACATTCAAGGAGAAATACCAGATGGTTAATAGATCAAAAAATACAATAAACGATTAAAGTTTATTGTAAATAGAAGAATAAGTCATGTTAAACAATGGTTGAATAAAAATACCTTGAGATTTTCTAACGATAATAATAAGATCAAAATCACTAATTATGTACTTGAACAAGAAATAACTAAGCTAAATCTATTCTGGAATATTTGTTGACTTCAGTGTAAAACTTGCAGCTTAGCATGTCTCAAGACGAGTCATCATGATCATAACAAAAAAGATATGAGCTATGATTGTCTAATAAATCACTTATGTCATTTTAGTTGCAGTTTTGAAAAAGCTCATATTACTGAAACTTTATCCAAATGCGTTCAGTTTGCTAGTCATGTTTGTGATCAAATTCATGCTTGTGAGGTATTTTATACTTATACCCATTGCGCTAAGGAGATAAGGCATAAGAAAACTCTTGGAAATTCAACTTATTTATATGAAGTTAGTTGTCATTATTGTATTATATCATGTTCATTAAATATAGATAATATTTATGAATATCAAAATAAATATATGGGAGGTTTGCTAGGAAAATGGGACTCTGAGACTAAAAAATTTTTTTGAATAAATTAAAAAATCAAAATA